GTAACACAAACTATTTTTCACGTGATCATGAAATATGAGAATCGAACAACTTTAGTTAGTCGAATAATCATCAACTATATAGTTAAATAATATTTATTAGAATAAGCATATGCATTTCGCACGAAATGCTAATGCTATAATAAATTATCTATAGTATCCCATATGAGAATCAATTAAATGACATCGGCATTTCGTGCGAGATACACATCTAAAAGCACGATACATATTTGAAATCAAGCCCTTTAATTATATCAAATCGGCTATTTAACTAAAAAAAACTGACTGGTTGATTTGAACTAATAATTAATGACTACATATATGCTACGAAGTAATTATGTTGATCAAAATCGTTAGTATAACATGCACTAAACAAAAACATAGATCCCGAAGCAACTTTGAAAATCATTTTATCAACAAAATCTTTCATATATCTTACCTTATATATTGCCAAAATTGCTGATAAAATGATTATTTGAAAGTGGGCATCGGGAGATCGTTCGCAAATAGTTTGCCTGCCAAATATATAGCAATACAAAAATTAAATTTGGCAAGCAAACATAACGATGATGAATAAATGAGATTTTAGCTTGTCAATACGTAATCAATAATAAGCGATCAATAATAAGCAATCAATAGCGATAACAAAATAAGCTTTCAGCACCTAACAACAATCAAACAAAATTATAACTATAAATGCATGACCCTAACTTTAAACCCGATCTAACCATAAATATCTAACCCTAACCAAACAGCCGTATACACATAATTCTTACCCTAGCCAAAATTCATTACAAATACCAGTTTTCCTACTACCTAATGATTCTCTTTGTCAGCTAGATCAGATTTATACTTTGAATATCCACGAATATTATGGCCTTTACCCGAACAGTAACTGCAGGTTTTAGAAGATGAAGTATGATGTTCATTATGTTCTTTAACAGATGACTTGAGCCATTTAGGGGGTCGTCCTCTCGGCTTATGATATTCTGGATTGGACACCTCAATAGCATTCAAAGGTTGTCGTGTTATTTGAGTGGTTGTGGGAAGTGCTGGTGATAAGTTGGAAGCAAGTTCTACAACTTCAGAAGCCATATTCGGAGGTGATGTTTCTTGCTCTACAACTTTAGTGGAAAACATACTTGGAGGTAAGGATATTTCCTTTATGCCTAGCCCAGTATCACGACGATATTTCATGATGAATTGTACTAATACTCCGGTTAATTCTTCAGTAACACCCTCAGAGACCGCAACTTGGACACTAGTTTTGGCCACAGACATTGTTGCACCAAATTGAACTTTCTTGTTAACATGCTCCCTAATAGTTGGTGTATAAACATCACCAATTCTTAATTGATTGATGTAATGTAATGGTTTAGTCATAGTACTTTCTACACCTTGAGAGATTGTAATAAAATTCATGGTATCAGATGAAAATGAATCAAACCAACGGGTATGAAAAAGCGATATATGAAATATTGCATTGCTTGAATAAATAAAAACCCGATATTGATGTCGACATAACATTCCTTGATT